CCCCCCCCCCCCCCCCCCCCCCCCCCCCCCCCCCCCCCCCCCCCAAAACCGCACCCCCAAAGCAAAGCTGAATAAACTTGTGACTGTTTTCCAGTCAACGCCCTGTTTGACACTTAATTCAGTGCATTCCTCTTTCCTCTCTCTCTGTAAGGTTCATAGAGTTGAGTGAAAAGGTGAGAAAAGGTGGAGGGGAAAAGAGCATCGCCAGACACACTCAGAGAAACAAGAAGTTGTTGGTCAGGGATCGGCTGCGCTTTCTGCTGGATGATGAGGACTTCCTGGAGCTGTCACCATTAGCTGGTCTGGGTCTGCCGTACGGGGACATCCCTTCAGCCGGCTGCCTGACTGGTCAGACACCACTTACCGCAGGCCTTTACTTTTTGGTTCTAACAAAGAAGGAAAAGAGACCTTCACTATCACAATGTTCATTTGAAATGGACTGCAGACAAGTGCTTCTGATTTACTTTGTTTAACTTAATGACAAGGGTTCCTTTGAACAGAACCAAACAGGTTAGGTATGAAAGCACCTGTAAGTACAACACAGAATTTAGCAAGTGCACTGCTTTCCTCTTTGATGTTTATGTTTACATTTAGCAACTCCTTTACCAACTGTTAACTAGTTTATGTTTTTGTGTATGTATCTTTATGTGTGTGTATGCCTCCAGGCATTGGCAGGATCAACGGCCTGTGGTGTGTGTTTATTGCCAATGATGCCACAGTGAAAGGTGGCACGGCGTATCCAATCACAGTGAAGAAGCAGCTACGGGCACAGGAAGTAGCAATTCAAAATCGCCTGCCTTGTGTTTACCTGGTCGACTCTGGAGGAGCTTTTCTGCCACTGCAGGTAAACACGCACATGCGCACACACACACACATGCATCTGCCATCATAAGTGTTAAAATGTGTTGAATCATACTGACTTCCATTTTAAAGTCGAGCTTGTGTCTCTGTGTGTATAATTATCCAGTCAGACATCTTTCCTGATAAGAATCATGGAGGAAAGATGTTCTATTATGAAGCCATCATGTCTGCCATGAAGATCCCACAGGTAAACAAATATAAAGTAGGGAGGGCTTGAGAAACAGAATGTTTTCTCTGTTATGCAGTTCAGGATGCATCAAATGTGCTAATTCAGTGGTTCCTAACCTGATGCCTTAAACAACAGTGTCTACCCAGGGCCCTTTTTATTGTAGGTATTATACTGTAGTACAAACATGACCATTACCATGGGGAGCAGAGCATTCAGCCGCTCTGATCCCCATCTCTGGAATTCATTACCACCCCAACTCAGAAACACTGATTCATTCCCCCATTTCAAATCACAACTCAAAACACATTTGTTTAAAACTGCCTATTCCATCTGATGCCAATTGCTCTGTCACTTTCTATTGTGTTTTTTTGTTTGTTTCCTTTTAATGTCATTTTGTGTGTCTGTACGGTGTCCTTGAGTGCCAAGAAAGGCGCCTTCAAATAAAGGTATTATGAGTTTTGAGCAGTTTAACCAAAGAGTGATTTCTAGATTGTAATCGTTATTGTTATTGTAACCCATTTTATTGTGCAACGGACGCGTTTAATTTTTCCTGGGACCCCTACGGTGACCCGACCCCCAGGTTGGGAACTACCGTCCCAATTAATCTAAAACACTGCAAGTTATTAAGTGCAAATGTTTTTTTAGTGTTTTAAAAATGAAGTCATGTATGATTGTATTGTATTATTATTATTATGTATGATTAAAAGCTATAAAAACATAACATGGGAATTTATTCACTCCCTATTTCGGGAGAACAAACAGGAGTGAACAGGAGAGTATGTGTAAAAGCTGATGTCCAGATGGATAAGAAACACTAGATTGGTGATCAAGTTGCAGCTCAGATTGCGATTTTACTGTAATAGTTCTCACTCTAAAGGTGTCAGTGGTGTGCGGGTCGTGCACGGCGGGTGGGGCTTATATCCCCACAATGGCAGAAGAGACAGTGATGGTGCACCGGATAGGGACTATATTCCTGGGTGGACTGCCACTTGTGAAGGCCGCCACGGGAGAGGAGGTCACACCAGAAGACCTGGGAGGAGCCACGCTTCACGCTGAGTAGGTCCATAAACCAACCCCAAATGTACAGTTATTAAAGAAATAAGTTCACATCATCAAGTCTGTCAATCCATGGTCTGGTTTCAGGGTGAGTGGCTGTGTGGACCATTTTGCCTGGGATGAAAAACAGGCATACCATGACACCAGAAACATCATGTCCACCCTCAACTTCCAACTGCCTGAGGAAGAGGATGAGGATGAGGAGAAGACGAGGAAGAGGAAAGCAGAGGAGGAGCCGCTGTACAGTTCAGAGGAGCTTCTGGGGCTGGCTCCCAGAAGTTATAACCACAGTCTGGATGTTAAGATGGTACAGTA